GGGGAGGGGGATGCAGCTGGCCCCGTGCTGGCTGCAGTCGTCCCAGCGGGGCCTGGCTTCCACGGGCTCTCCTGCCTCTCTGCCTGCTCTGGAGCAGCGCGTCTGGCAGGGGCGGCAGGAAGGTGCTTCCCAGTGCAGCTGTTCTGGCCGGGGCTGGCAGCGTGGTGGGGTGCCTGGTGAGCCGTGTCTGTGTGGGAGCTGGGGCGTGCAGCCCTGTTTCCCTCTTCTAGTTGTGCTCAGCCTTTTGCGAGCCTCTGGTTTGAGCTGGACTGGCCGACTTGGGGGAAGGGAGGGTCTCAGGTTGGGGGGAACCTAAGCAAAGCGCTCGGCTGTGCCTCTGGCCCATGCAGAGTGGCAGTCGGTGGCACTGGGGTGATGTCTTGCACGTGTGGCTGAAGCCTGGGAGCAGTTACTCCAGAAGATCTGAGGTCGGTGCCATTGCGGGGGATAGGGAGGGTGCAGGCTGAGGTGGGATGCAGTGTCCTGGTGCCTGACATTTTCTCCCTCCTGCAGGACCCGGTACATCAGCACAGAGTTGGGGATGCGACAACGGCTTTTCGTGGGTGTGCTGACCTCCAAGAGCACACTGAACACGCTGGGGGTGGCTGTCAACCGCACGCTGGCCCACCGCCTGGAGCGCCTGGTGTACTTCACAGGCACGCGGGGCCGCAAGGTGCCCCATGGCATGACGGTGGTGACACACAGTGACGAGCGGCCCATCTGGAACATGTACCAGACCATCAGGTACCTTCTGGATCACTACGTGAATGACTTTGACTGGTTCTTCCTGGTGCAGGATGATACCTACACAGAGGCACACCGCATCAGCCGCCTGGTCGCCCACCTCAGCATCGACACCCACCTCTACCTGGGCCGCCCCGAGGAGTTCATCGGTGGGGACACTGAGGGACGCTACTGCTACGGGGGGTTTGGCTACCTGCTGTCCCGCAGCCTCCTCCTGCTCCTGCAGCAGCACCTGGAGAGCTGTCGCAATGACATCCTCAGCGCCCGGCCCGACGAGTGGCTGGGCCGCTGCATTATCGACTACACAGCTGTCAACTGTGCCGAGGAGCATGAGGTAGGTCCTGCAGTGGAGGTAGCCTCCAAGAGCCTGATTCTGGACTGCCTGCCTGCCTTCTTCCCTGTGGCCTCCCATGTCCTGGGGGAACCAGCCCTTGCACCCTGTCATCCTTTGAGCTTGCGGTGCTGACAGCCTGTGGGGTGGGAGCATGGGTCAGGGCTGGCTGTGACCTGTCTCTCCTGGCTGGCACAGGGCCTGCGTTACCACTATTTTGAGCTGGGAAAGAATGTGGACCCTGAGCGGGAGACTGACCTCCGTTTCCAGAGCGCCTTTACTGTTCACCCCGTGCTGGATCCCCTCCAGATGTACCGGCTGCACAAGTACTTTGCACAGGTGGAGCTTGAGAGGACCTACCAGGAGATCCAGCAGCTCCAGGTGAGACCTGGCTTGGCTGGGATGGTCTGGGCTCCTCCTGTCATCCCTGTGAGCTTTCTGGTTGCTCTGTGTCACCTTTCTGCTCCGAGGGTTTCTCATCTGCACCTGCTGTGGGATGGAATCAGCTGAGCCCATGTGGCTGCAGGGGCAGTGGTGCTGGTTGGAGAGCAGCTTTGGACCTGGATGGGTCCTGGAGGTGTGGTGGTGGCTCAGAGTCATAGAGCCAGCAGGGTGCTGAGGTTAGCCAGCAAAAGCTGAGCAGGGTGGGAGAGAGCACAGATCCAGCTGATGGACGTGCTGTCCATATTTGGGGTGCTCTTTGGAGGAAACCTGAGGTGCCAGACAGGAGTCAGGCTGAAGGCAGAGGTGTTCTGCTCTTAGGGCCAGGAGTTGATCTCTTGTGTATCAGGAGTTAGCTTGCCTGCAGCCAGAACTGGAAGACCTACCTGTGCCTGCCTTGGCTCTCACTCCTCCATCTCTCCTCTTGCAGCTGGAGATTCAGAATGCCAGCAGCCTGTCTGCTGACGGGGACCACAGTGCCACGTGGCCCGTTGGCATCCCACCACCCTTCCAGCCCAAAACCCGCTTCGAAGTACTGCGCTGGGACTACTTCACGGAGGAGCAGGTCTATGCCTGTGTAGATGGCTCCCCCAAGTGTGAGCTGCATGGTGTGGACCTGGCCGATGTGGCCGATGTGGTGGCCACAGCCATGGAAGAGCTGAACCGCAAGTACCAGCCGGTGCTCCACGTCCGCAAGCAGCAGCTGGTGAACGGGTACCGGCGCTTTGACCCCACGCGCGGCATGGAGTACACGCTGGACCTCCAGGTGGAGGTGGTCACCCAGAAGGGGCACAGCCGCTCTGTCACCAAGCGTGTGCACCTGGTGCGGCCCCTCAGCGAGGTGGAGATCATCCCCATGCCCTACGTGACGGAGGCCAGCCGCATCAACGTCATCCTGCCGCTGACGGCCCACGACCGGGACCACGCTGCCCACTTTTTGGAGACCTACGCGGCGGCTGCCTTTGAGAGCAGTGAGAATGCAGTGCTCACCTTCCTCTTCATCTATGACCCCTTTGAGGCCCAGCAGGTCACCCAGAATGACATCTTCGCTGCCGTGAAGGCCCAGATAACCGAGTATGAGCGCAAGTATGCAGAGGTGAAGATCCCATGGATCAGTGTTAAGACAGACGCACCCTCCCAGATCAAGGTCATGGACATCATCTCCAAGAAGCATCCCGTGGACACGCTTTTTTTCGTGGCTGGTGTGGGGACGGAGGTCACCGTCGATTTCCTGAACCGCTGCCGGATGAACACCATCAACAACTGGCAGGTCTTCTTCCCCATCCACTTCCAGGGCTACAACCCCGCCATCGCTTACCACAACCAGGTACCGCCAGCTACGCTGGACCTGCTGCGGGACGCGGGGCGCTTTGACCGCGACGTCTTCCACGAAGCCTGTTTCTACAACGCCGACTACATGGCAGCACGCACCCGCATGGCAGGTGACGTGCAGGAGAACGAGGACATCCTGGAGACCCTGGACATCTATGACATGTTCATCAAATACTCCAACCTCCATGTCTTCCGGGCCGTGGAGCCTGCCCTGCTGCAGCGCTACCGGCACCAGGCCTGCAACCCCCGGCTCAGCGAGGAGATCTACCACCGCTGTGTGCAGAGCAGCCTGGAGGGTGTAGGCTCTCGCTCCCAGCTGGCCATGGTGCTTTTCGAGCAGGAGCAGGGGAACAGCACTTGAACCCTGGGGTGCGGAGGGGCTGGCCCTGCCCTGCCTGCCTGCCCACCCCACCTCTTCTGCTGCCCAAATCTGTCTTTCTCCTCCTGGCACCTGCAGGGATAGCTGGTGCCTGAGCTCATGACTTGCCCCGCTGGGGCTACCCGGGCCGGGGTCTGCCAGTCCGGGGTGCACAGGTCCTTCCGGAGCGGCCGTGGCTGTGCAGACCCTGGGGCAAGGCAGGGTTGGAGTTGCTGAGCTGTGAGCTATAACGCCTGGCTTCTCACCCCAGAGCTGCTGGCTGCCAGCCCCATCCCTCCGTTCTGGCCCCGCTGCCCAGCAGGGAGGCGATGGGCTGCCCTGTCCTTGCTGTCTCTCCTCGACTGGAGGCACACAGAGCCCAAGGCCCACCTGCTGCAGGGCCACGACTGCCATGGGGCTGGGGGTGATCTGTCGTGGTTCTCCCAGCGCCCTGGGACAGGGCTGTGTCCCTCGCTTCTTTGGAGCATTGTCCCAGTCATGCAGGTAGGGCTGCATCCCTGCACCTGCCACAGGACAGGGGGATGGGGCACATCGCACCCCAGAAGAGCAATAAAGAGATTGGTTTTGGGGTTTTGCCACTTGGCAACGAGCTAGAGCACTCCCAGCTGGTCAGGGTGGGGGGACTGGGCCAGTGGGGGCACAGGGGGTGCCAGAGGGAATCCTGCTGTATTCACATACCGTAAGCTGCTCCCCATGGGAACCGTGACCCAGGCCGCTTTGGCCTTCGCAGTATTGATAGGACGTCGGAGGTCGCAGCCCTCAGACGAGAGCCTCCTGACAGAGGTGGGAGCCCTCCCCACTGTGGGGCTGCCCTCGGCGTTGGGGGATGCAGTGCCCGGCGCTAGTGGGCATGGCAGAGGGTTTGGCTGCACATCTCCTAAGGAGAAAGCGACTGAGGAGCCGCTCTCTGCTCCTGGTTTGTATTTAATAGTGGGGAGAGGAGGTGGGGGTGCATTTACACTAATAAAATGGAGAGATGAACCAGTGGATCTGGCTGATTCTTCCCTGGGGCACCTCTGGGTGTTCTGTTGGGGATCTGTGTGGTGGTAGGTGCTGGATGCTTGTACAAAATCTGGCGGCAGCTGGCTGGACTGCTTCCTCTCAGGGATGCTGATTCCTTCAAGCTGCTTGCAGGGTGTTCTACCTGAGCTAGCTGGGAGACAACTGCCTCTCCTTAGTGAGGCCAGGGAAGCCCACTGGTTTATGGACAGGTTGACAGGCACTAGGCCAAGCAGACACTTGGAAATGCCAGCTTGAACCCCTTGGGGGCTCACAGCAGGAGTGCTGCACCTCCTCTGATGCTTGGTGCCCCTGGGGCTGTCCTGCTGTAGCTACCTGCTACCAGTTACTGGTGGTGCAGCAGGATGCTGAGCCCCTTGCCACGGGAAGCCCTGGTGCCAGCATGTTGAGCTTTAGGCAATGCCGTCTTGCCTGGTGCCATACGTTTGTGGTCGCACTGACCAGGTTTCTAGCCATGTTCAGCCCCAGCTCCAGCTGGAGAAGGACTGTGGTGAAGGGCTGGTGCAGCTGTGTGTTGTTCCAGTTGTGCTGTCCCCATAACAGCCTCTGTGGGCTCTACATGGGTAATGGGAGACCCCTGGCCCATGTCAGAGCAGAGGTTGGGCGCCTAAGTGGGGTGAGCTCTGCCCTCTACTATCTGGGATCAGCTCTGAAGGAAACTCTCAGGCCAGAAACTCCATACATGCACTGTGTTGAATAATTAGGCCTGGACCTGCCCTCTCTGCATTGGTTTCACCCTTTTCTGTGCTCTTTTGCATCTCGGGGCTTCTCAGCACCTTGTGGTTTTCAGTTTTGTGTTGCGCAGCACACCATGATGCTGCCCTGGACTGTTTCACCACCTACAGCTCCTATTTGCAGTATGAGAAGTGGGCACTGTGTCCTCTGCATGTACTGCCTGCTTCCAGTGTGATTTTCATGGGTCCATGTGCTCTTCCCACCAGCCCTTTGGTTGTCACGTTTTACTTGTTCACAAAACACATGTATCAAAGAGACATCCCCAAGAAAATTAACTGAACCTACTCACTGTTAGTTATTAAGGCTGTTAGTGCTCAGCAAAACATGGAAAGCTCCTGGGCTGTGTGGCATGCCTTCCCCAAAGATATCCTGTTCATGTATTCTTACTCCAGTATTCATATCCATGGTGTAGGAGCTTATATGTATAAATATAATTTTATTATATTTCAGATGATAACTGTTAGCTTGCTCTAAGTATTTCTATTTTTGATCTTCCCCAAGCACATCCTTAATTCCCTTTAAATGTGAATCTGGGACAGAGGGAGCGAGGCGGATGCAGGTGCACTACAGATACATTTCTCCTCTGAAAAGCAGACCTAGGAGTCGAATGTGATTAGGCATTCGAAGATTATCCAAATGGTAATAAAGTAAACCAGCTTCAGATCAAGCTGGTTGCAAAAACACCCCTCAGAATTGTCGTTTAATTGTCGCAAGATGGTCTAGATAGAGTTGCTCTTGCCTCTTCATTGCTGTTTGCCCAGACTGAGTTAGAGCTATTTGCATACTTAACGCTCCGCACTATCAACACCAGCGAAGCTCCCCGTGCTCTGACATACGTACGAGCAAATGACAGTGCTTGTGGCACTCCCAGCATGGTTATTGCTTCATTTTATAAGGAGCTGGCAAGGTTTGAAGCTGCTTTGGTGTTTGCCAGGTTATTTGCAGCATCAAAACACGATGAAACCCTGGGAAAGGATGATCAAAGCTTTGGGAAAGAGTTTCGTGGTGGGAGGGGGCCGGCCATATTGGCTGGGGCCCAGAACAACCTTCCTGCACCTGATTGAAGTAAATGGGATCACTGGGCAACAGCAGAGACCTGTGACAATGGGGACATGGGCCCAACTCTGCTTTGCCCCCTCCCTGCCTGCACAGGCTGGCAGGTGCAGGCAGGGCACTGGACCAGGACAGTGACACTTGAAAGAGGCAGGCAGGAGCAGCCCTGGGTGCTGATGTGGGCAGCTGAGCAGACAGGGACTCTCTACAATCCCTGTTCAGGTTTGACTGGTACTTCCATATGACGTTTGGATTTTTGCACAGACAGTTGCACAGTCAGAGCAGTGAAAGGGCACATTTCCCAATGGGGCAGGAGAAAACACATGTCTGCTGCCCACAGACTTCTGCTTCCCTCAAGAAAATTTTCTAAAGGCGTTACTGGCTCACTGTGACTTTTGAGAAGAGCAATGCAAGTTCCTCTTGGGGACTTTTTTGGAAGAAGGCGTAAGTTCAGAGCAAAGCATGAGAGGAGCTGGCCGGGTGCACTGGGGCTGGGCCAGCTTCCCTTCCTCTCTACTTTGCACCACGACAAGGAAAGGGACTTAAATAGGGGAAAAATCAAGCTGCTGCTCTGCTGTTCTGCTCCCCCCACAATTCTTTTCTGCTGTGCAGTCATGCAGGCATCTCTCTGCAAATGCAGCAGTGAGCCTGTGAGCAGGGAAGGCAAAACCTGCTCCTTTAGCCCTGCTGGGATCATTTCTGGCTGTGCTAAACGCCACAGCAGAGTTACTTCAGTGCCGACAATGTTAGCTCGATTGCTGACCTTTGGGAGGGTGTAGGAAGTGTGGCCGTGCCAGGAGAGTCCTGGAGGGCAAGGGGAAGCACAGTGCCCTTTTGTCCCTGTATTGGGAAGGCCCAGTGGTGCCTCGCTGCCTGTCCTGCAGGAGCAGCTCTGCCGGTCACAGAGCAGGACCCAACCCTAGCTAATGTTTCCTCCTGGCCGTAGGCAAAGGCAGGAGGAGCAGGCAGGGATATGTCAAGCTTTGCCTGTGCCCAATGCCCCAGGCCACAGCCCGATGCACTGCCAAGCCCTTCCAGAGGGTGTGGGGTGTTTTGGCCAGGGGCTCTTCTGGCCAAGCTCAGGGAAATCAGAGCCTTTTTCATGAAGAAGGAAACAGACAGTAGCTGTAAGTGCAGGCAGAGCTGCTGCTGATCTGTACCTGCCCGCAGGGATTTCCCTGCACAGGGGTGTCAGCGCACCCAGCTGTGCCTGGGGACTCCCCTGCAGGGACACACAGCCCCAGCACAGGCAGACTGCAGGAACACAAAACTCTGGGGCTGAGGGGTGGAGAAGCAGGCAGCTGAGTTGAATTGTGATTTTAATTGCCTCCTCTGTTTTTCCAGTCTGCTTGTCCACTGTCTGGGGCTGAGCACTGGAAAGCGAGGGCTGTGTGTCTCCTGCCTGACCTCACCAACGAGCACCACTGGTCTGTTTTCCCAGCAAAGGGGTCTTGGGGAAATGACCAGGAGCAAAGCAGTGAGCTTGGTGCACTCAGTTCATGAGACGCTGAGGGTCACTCCTTTCTCCAGGTGTTGCCTGTCACCACCAGCACCTCCAGGCAGGAAGTGCTTGGGAAGGAGGTGACAGTGTTCTGTTGCACTTCAGGACTCATTTCCAGCCCCTCTGCTCCAAAGCCCAGTGGTTTGGTTTATTTGAAACACATCTTTTCCCTGGGAACAACTTTAATTGTGGTTCATGAGAGTGGAGACATGGTGGGAAGTGGAGATGCCCATCCTGTGGGCAGAAGGGATCCTCGCCAGTGGCTCCATCCTGGTGCCCTCTCCCTGGGGCCTGCCCTGCAGTCTGACGGGGTTGTCACCTCTATGGTGACAGGAACTGTTGCAAGCACAGCTGGTCCTGGCACGGTCAGGTGCCTGGCGTTTGTCCGGAGGGCTGTGCTCGTTGAAATTAAGGGCCTGTTTCACTGTAGTGGATCCTCTTCTAATTATGTCCCAGCTATTTCATGTGGCTCATTATAGATGATTCAAGCAGCGCTGGGCTGGGCTGATGTTGCTTTGCAGCCTGGTGAGCCGTGGGTGGCAATGGCCCTGTCCCTGGGGAGGACCAGACCCCTGGTGGTCCTTGAATGGGTGCAGCATGGGAGAGGGCACCCAGGGGCCACAGTGGTGGGGTTTGGAGTTGGCCCTGGGGTGCCAAATCTGGATCATCCCGCTGATCCTCCTCAGCCTGCCCTGCATCATCTACACTGGGACATCAGGCATGGCACAGGGGCAGGATGGGATGCTGGGGTCACCTCACCTGCCTGTCCTGTTTGCAGACAGTAGGAGACCCTACAGGGGGTGTCATCTCTAGGTGCCACCGGGAAGTTGCCAAATTAAATAACGGAAGCACTGGGAACAACAGATAAAAATCATTTTATGTTAAAACTTTGCTAGGTTACTACTACTGGGCTCCCCAGGACCTGTCCTGAGGCTGCTTTGCCAGCAGCCCTGGGGAGCTGGGATGGGCCATAAACGAGTCTCACCCTTTCCTTTGGCCATGCTTCACTCCAGCTCCTCCAAAATCACCTTTATTTCCTTGTAGGCATAGGGTCTGGCTTTGTGGGGCTTTTTCCAGCAAGCTGCTTACTGGAGCTGGGAGATGTGGTACAGAGTAGCATCTCGGTGAGCTTGGCATAACACTGCACCCAGCCCTCACCCTCCCAGCGCTCCTCAGCCAGCACCACTGCGACCTTCAGGTTTTGTATCAGGATGCAGTCCTTCCCTCATGCCCTCCAGCACCTGCAAAGCCGTGCACTGGGCTCACCACACGATCCTGCTCTCCTCCTGTAAGGCCCTTCGACACATCTCCACTGCAGAGCAGGAGGCAGAACGACTTCTCAGTCACAGCCTTGGTGTGGATGAATGTGGCATTGTGGAAGGGCATCCTCGAGGGACAGATGGGCCTGGACCTGGTGGCAGGGACAGCCTCATCCCAAAGGACCCTAAGGGACCTGATCCTCTTACCAGGTGATGAAATATGTGGAGGATATAGCCATTTCCACGCTTTTCCCTTTAGGACCCAACCCCAGTGCTCCCCTTGCAGGGCATGGTGTGAGCTGTGGGATGGTGTCCTGTGTCCCAGCTGCACCCAGTCAACATGGGCATCTTCAGCCCTCACTGGTTTAGAGGGAAACCTGTGATGGCTGGTGCTGGCAGCCTGCACTGTGAGGCCAGCCGCTGTCTCCTGCTTTGTCCCATTTCTCTGTGCTGCAGGATGGCCAGGGTGGATGGAGAAGGGTCTGGAGAAGGCAAGAGCTGGAGGAGCACCTCTGCTGGGGTCCCCCTTCACCCCCACCCATCCTTCACCTCCCCTGTTTCAGTTTCACCCCTTCCCCCTTAACCACAGCACTCACTGGGGTCCTGCTGGAGGTCTCACTGTAGGACAGCTGATGGTGGTCCTGGGATCTCACCAGCACTGTGCCCCCCTGCCGAGGGACAGGGCCCACAACCCAGAGCAGGTACCAGAGGAGCAAGCAGCTCCTGGCACCATGCTGGTGACCCCATGTGAGGGCAGTGCCAGTGTAAGCACCAACCTTTAACTGAAAGGGACTGTGCCTGGTGCTGGTAACAGGCATGGGAGCGGAGAGGCCATGGGTACCACGGGGGAGCACTCACAAGGAAGTGAGTCCGGCATGAGATCCTGGGTGTTGGCAGAGCTGACGCTCCAGCACAGGGTGTCAGTGGAGCACCCCCCCAAAGCACCATGTTTCTGCTCTCCCATCTGCCCCTCACCCTGCAGCAGTCTCTGGAGGGGCAGGATCCCATCTTCCCCACCCGATAGAGCCCCATGGGGTGCTGGTGGGGTGCCCGCTCTGCCCCAGGGAGTCATTTGAGAGCTGGACTATGGCTCTGGCAGTTCCTGCTGCTGGTGTGCAGCTGTCAACTGCTGCACCTCTCCCGCAAGCTGAGGCTCAAAGAGCTGGGCAGCAGGCAAGACGACCCGGCATGCTGGCTCTCGCAGTGCCCCACATGTGGGTACAGGGCTGTAAAGTGCTCCTTGGGTCCCACCTCCACCTCCCCCAGGGTGAGACCAGCTCCCCACCTCTCTGCCCACCCCCCCAGCCCTGCCTGTTGTCTCCAGCCCTCACAGGTGGCTCCAGACGTACTTGTGCCTCTTTATTAGGGAGCATTTGTACATTTATAAAACAGTGACACACATCTCACATTCACCAGCACGAGAGCGTTCGTGCCGGCCCTCCTGCCATGGTGCCCATGCCCACCCCACCCAGAGCTCACTGCTCCCGCTGGCAGGGATCCACACCCTGCACGTCCCCGCCGCCAGCCACAGACCTCGGTGTAGGGCTGACTGACATGGCCGTGACACATCCCCGGTCTAATGCGTGGCACCCCTCTGGGGACACTCTTGCTTGCAGATGGGTGTGGGGGGATCCCATGGGGACCTGGCACAGGGTGCTCTGGAGGGTCTCCCTGGGGAGCACCGCTGTCTCTGCCCTGCCAGGAGGTTTGCCATGTGTGTCCCCCATGCAGGGGGACATGGGACACCATGCAGCTGGGTGCTTGCACCAATGGGGAACACATTTCCACATGGGTGCACATTCTGGGGGGCTGTTGGGCCTCACATACCCAGAGCCAGGGCTGCTGGGCACATCACCAGGCTGGTGCTCTGGTCCTTGCCCTGCATCTCCCATGTGTGGGGCCTTGGGGGCTGCAAGGATGATGGCTCCTCCTGCATCTATGGCTTTGGCCACAGCATGACATGGCCATGTTCCGTCTGCAAGCACCAGGGATGGGGACCAAGCTGGCAGGGCCAGGGGCCACCTGGCTCAATCCCAGCCTCCCCCAGAGATGCCAAATTCCTGCCCTGGGGTCCCCCCATGTGTGTGTGTTGAGGGGGGCTTTGCCAGCCCACACCCCCTCCTGAGATATTCTGGGGCTGTTTGCCCTGCGCTGGTGTCTGCTACAGTGGAGGGGTAGGAGGCCATGTCAGACAGGACAGGGGGAGTGCTGTGGGTCCTGCCATGGGTCCTGCCGTGGGTCCTGCCATCTCGGGGCAGGCAGGAGGGCTGTGGGTGCCAGTCCTGGCTGAGGCTCCGGCCTGCAGTTTGGGCTCTGGCTGTCCGGGTGGTGCTGGGCACGGGGCACCCTCCTAACTGTGTACAGTCTGGGGGAGGCACAGCGGGTGCTCAGCACCCGGGGGGGTGGGTACATGGTAAGGGGTACGTGCACGGTGAAAAAGAGTGGCGATGGGCAGGGGACTGAGGGCAGGACCTCCCCCATGCCACCTGGGCTGTGTCAGGTGGCTGCACCAAGGGACGAGCC